CACCCATCACTCCTCCATGTCAGTGGCCCCTCATCCTTCTACTTCTTCAGCTGCTGCCTCAAAAGAGGCCGCCTCCTCTGTCCGGAGACGGCTGGCAGATAGTTTTATTCCCCCATCCTCTGCATCTGTTTCTAAGGCTATGACTTCGAAAGCGCCTTCGGAGTCTCACCCCTCTCACTCAAAGCGGAGTCACTCTAGACTATCCACTTTTGGCTCTTCCTCTAAGAAGACCAAGAAGCCAAAAAGGGCTAAAAACATATCTCCAACCAAGGACCCTCAACAGTCCAAGGTTGTTGAAATTGGTCCTACTGAGCCCAGGACATCTGCTTTAGACCCCCTAGCTCCTCAATTCCCTCTCAAAAAGACATTGTTGTACATACTAGGATCCCACATGACTCCACCTTGGCATCTCTACATGACCTTGTGATGACTCGGATACCTCCCCTTTCTGAGGTCCCTTCTCTCCACTTATTCACGGCCTATCACCCGAGATCGATGATCTTGATGATATTGCACGGATGGATGATTTATCAGCTTTGTCTGATACTGACATCCCTTATCTCCAATATCTTCTTATGGATGTAGATAGTGAGCCTTACCAGCCTACTACATCAACTTCAGTGGTAATCGGCGACCCGCCTTACGCAGGCGTCAATGATATAGACACCGAGCCTCTCGCCGGTGTTGGTGATACAGACACTGAGCCTCTCGCCAGTGTTGCTGATACAGATATTGAGCCTCACGCCGATATCGTTGATACAGATGTTGAGCCTCACGCCAACATCAGTGATACTCCCATCGGTGACTCTCAGGGCGCCGATGGTACTGCGAGTGTTGGTGTTTCTTCTCCAGGTGGGTCAGCAAGCTCAATCAAAGCTTGCTCTCCTACTCCAGCTGCTGTTTCTCCCTCCAGGCCCCCCTCTGCACCGGGCTTTCAATTCTCAGCTCCCTCTCCTCCTGAGGTGATCTATGCCATACCCACTGAGGTGGTGGATATGTTCAGAGGCTTCACATCTCAGTGTCAGCTGCTCCTCTCTCAACAGGCCTCCCTCAGCACTGATTTATCTGGGCGATTGGACTGCTTTGCCTCCAGCGTTACATCTGAACTGCGTCAGCACAGTGTCGCCTTGACAGATCATGGCATTGCTTTCACTACTATTAAAGCTACGATGGATTCTCTTGATGCTCACATGACTGCTCTCTCCAATTCTCAGGCCAGTATCTCTGAAGCTGTAGCTGATCTTAGTGCTCGATCGGAAAGTCAAGCTGCCACAAATCAGGCAATTCTTCAATCTCTGACTGATCTTCACTCCAAGATGGATGCACAGACTCAGATATCCAAATTGTTCTTAGCCAGAGATACAGAGTTCACTGTTGACTTGGGTCCTACTCAGTTCATGGAAGAGGACAGGGTTATGTTAGCCAAAGTCAGTCGCCGTGTTGAGTCCGATTATGCTCTTCTTGGCGGTCTTCATCGCGGTATCTCACGTCTGCTTCGTGCCACATGTGCTCCCTTTCCTCGTGCTACTGCCTCTGTACCTTCCCCACCTGCCAATGTGGAGGGTCCTTCTGTTCCTGCTAGTGGACCTTCCCCTGTTCCCACTGAGGGGGAGAAGACAGTTGATCCTACTACCAGTGACAACGGGGACGACGACTCAGCTTCTACTTCTTCTACCTCTTCATCCTCAGCTGAGTCAGACTGTGATGCTCCTATTGAGGAGGAGCTATTTGATCATGATAATAGAGCGGCGGTACCTGTTGAGGGGGAGCAACCATGTTCTATGCCTTCAGTATCTGTTGAGGTTGGTACCATACCTTCTCAAGATGATATTTTCACTGCTTCTGGGGACTTAGTCCCAACTCACAGAGAAGGAAAGGCACCCATGACCTCAGATGAAGAAGCTGCTGCAACTAAAGCAGCTAAAATTGTTAGACATCAATCTGCAGTTCCTTCAGCCGACAGACTTGTGCTTAAAGCTCCATGTCCTCAAGAAACTGATCTTCATCTCCTAGGTATTTCTTCTGAGGATGCGGCCAACTCAATTGCTCTTCAAAAGCAATTTGAGGAAGCCAACAGATCTCACTCCTTAGTCCCACTATCTGAGTCTGAAGAAACCAAAAAGAAAAGAATTAAATGGTTTAATGACTCAATTCTCCGACGCTACACTACTACTCGAATTGTCAATGCCAGAATCAAAGGTCCTCAAAAATTGACCTATGATTCCAATCTGATCTATTTGATTATTGGTCGAGAAAATGGAGCAGTGAGGACAGAAAAGCTGACTTGGATCAATTCCTACGGTCTTACTGAGTGGATGGAGATCATCAAGTTTCTAAGTAAAAGCAGAAGCATGTACAAGGAATTTGTCTTGAGTCATCTGTATCGCCTTCTCAAAAAGATACAAATGATCAAGATGCATTACAAGCTGCCTTCCCCTCCACAACTCTCCTTTCTTAAGCAAGTGTTAAGCAAAGTTGGCTCTTCTAAATTTGCTTCTGCCTCGAAGACCATCAAGAATCAAGACTCGCTTATTCAGAAATTATCAAAGGAAGGTAAGGCTCTTGATGTCTCACATCTTGATCTTACCCTTCCTTCAGATGTTTGTCATCCAGAAGGAACTATCTTGTCCGCTCCTGAGCATGGAATATTCTTCTGGGACGCGAGTAGTTGCCTTCGATTTTTCCAAGCTTCTGAGATACCTATAGCTGATTCTCAGCTATTGCACGTGATACTGAGTGTAATCAAAATTGGTGAAGCCGAAAGAGTCTTTTATACTTTGATCTCGGATGAACTGAAGAGAAGAGATGTTCTTGCAGTGGCTGATTCAGACGCTATGGAAGTAGATGATGATTGCTAGCTTTCCTATGTGATTTCTTCTTCTTGAACTACTTTCTTCACTGTAAATATTTAATGCATTGTCTAGTATAAATGCAATTTGATTTTTCAGTATTTACTTTAAATTTTTCATTCTTTATTTGTTTATCTCTGATTAATTATTTGTTTGTATATACGTTTATACTTTAAAAAAATTAAAAAAATCAAAAAAAATAAAAAAAATGAAAGAAAAGAACCCAAAAAGAATATGTACATGGGTCACATAATTTATAAGTTCTTCTTCTCAAAGAATTTTAGAGTTTGTGTATCTTGTATTTATTTCTTTCTAAGTGTTTGTGTCATCATCAAATATGGGGAGATTGTTGGGTCACCTATTGATTTGGTGATGGCCCACTGATCTATTCCTCTACCTTAGCAACACTTAGTAGTTATTGGTTCTTTGTAAATTGGTGTCTTGGAACATACTTAAAGCCATTGGCAAAATCGAAGACTAGCCGATGTGAAGACAGAAGGTCACCAATGCGGTGTTGTGGATCAACTGTCTAATATACACACCAAGACTCCGAAGTAGCTGCAATGCATATTGAAAATATTTTGAAGTTACAAGCCGATTGAAGGAAGATCTTCATAGACCGAAGATTGAAAATTTTCATGGACTCAAGATTGAAGATCATGGACCGAATATTGAAAATCTCCATGGACCGAAGATTTGTGTGTAGCTGCTTGAAGCTACATATCCATCCAAAGGAGATCTTCCTACAGACTGATCATATCTCTGCAAAGTTTGTCTCTGCATGAACTGTGTAAGTTTGTCTCTGCATGAACTGTGTTGTATGCACACTGTGTACGATGAAAATGAGATATCAACATTGGTCAAGTCAACCCCTGCCTTCTTATCCTCAAGTGACAAGTGTCCCCATGCATTAAATGCTGAAGGTAGTATAAAAAGGCAGTGTGCATCTCCCATGCACATAACTGGCTTTTGCAAGATTACTTAATGCACTCTCAAAGCAATCGGCTATTCTCTTCTACTCCCTTGCTCTCCTGTGTGCGAAGAAATTCTTAGTGTTCTTCATTTCCTTTCAAGAACTCTCTGTGTTGTTCTTGAAAGTTCTTATCCTTGTAAGATTGTTTAGATTAGGTTTTCCTTTCCTATCTTCCGCAACAATCTTTTGTATTTCAGTGTGTACTAATTCTTGATATAAATCAATAAGAATTAAAAAGTTGAAAAAAGTCTGTGTAATTGTATTCAACCCCCCTTCTACAATTATTTTCTGTTTATTGCATTTCCCTTCGGGACTAACAATCTTCCATATCAATGTTCGGACGAGAGGATCCACCAAATCCATCATGCAGGAATAACATAGAGTTGAAATCACCCATGAGGACCCACGGTTTTGCACCCATAATCACCTTAGACTTACGAAGTCCCTACCAAAGATCACGTCTAACAACACACGTATTAGCCCCATAAACAGTTGTAAGGAAGATTGGCTCCACCTCCCCCTAAATAGGGACAAGAGAGTGCAAAAATTGGGAATGTCCATCTACCAACATAATATCAAGAAGACGAATATCCCAAGCAAGGATAATACGCGTACCTTTATCCGAAAAAGAGGTATTTGAAATCCAATGCCAACGACCAAAAATATTATTACAAATATCATCCAGACCATCACTAAGAACATGAGTTTCAATAAGGGCAGATAAAGAAAGATTATGTTTAGAAATAAACTCCTTGACCTCCATTTGTTTATTCGGGAATTTAGACCCCAAACATTCCAACAAGCAAAGTTCAACATGACTAACCTGAATCGGAAGGTGCCAAATGCTCCAACGGGACAGGTCCCTCATCCTTCTCAACATCATCAATAGCCTCCTAGTCTGAAAGGACTTCAAAACTGTTAGACGGTGTTTTAAGATTCAATTGTTGTTGTAAGGCTCCTCATTTTGGTTTGCCAAAAGAGTGGAACGAGTTCACCACCGACTGAACAAACGGCCTCGGAGTGGCATTTCCATCCGAACGAGTAGGATTTTTCTTTGAGATAGGTTGATCACTCCCAAACTTAAGCAAGGTCGCCGGCTCATTAGAAGATGGCCCCATAAAGTTCTGCACAATATTATCATCCTTAGGAGTTCCAGACATATCCGGCATCAAGGAATTCTAATTGGTTGGATCCATTGGTTTTGTTCCACTGGTACTCGGCTGGGAGTTACCCTTCTTCTTCCATTGCCTCTTTTCCACTCGTGTAAAGCCATCAGCATCCACACGCGAACGTTTATCCTTAACAAGAAGCTGACAGGTACTTTCAGCTTTAACACAAGAACTAGATTTATGGCCAAACAAGCAGCAATGGTAGCATTGGTGGGGCTCCCTAATGTATTCCACGTGAACTTTAACTTTCTCATCCGAACCATCAGACAGACTTGGAATGATAACCTCCAATTCCCGTTTGAGATCCCCAACAGCCCAGACCTCTACGAGAACTTTTGCAAATCCCGGTCTACCCCATAGTTTATTGCACGTAGCCGACGTGCACGAATCCATTCGCTTAGGAACTCCTAGCACACTTGCAATGTGGCTCACTCCTTCCCGATTAAAAGCAACAAAAGGGATATTATGGATCTTACCCATGACGGGCAAGAGGAGTGTTCCGGTTTATGTAGACCCTTAGAGGGGTCCCATGGGAAGACAAATAAGGGGGCTCCTCGAATCATAAGAGGACCTGGCTCAATGACTTGAAGACAACCCCCTTCATTATTAAAACGAAAGAAAAACATATCGTTTTCGTTCATCACGCCATCCTTGAATCCAAACATGTTCCGAGCTGCTTTCACATAGTTTAAGACGACCAAGCAACCGAGGCCAAGGTCCTAGGAAATATCCATATAATGTGGTATTATAAACTTTGCTAATTGACTTGGCCAGCTCCACCGGGATAGGAATGTTCGTACTCTTTTTATCCTCTAACGGAAAGAATTCGAGAGAGTAAGAAATTGGATTTCCAACAACCGCTTTAGAATCCATACCATGTTTCAGAATTTCAACATTGCCATAGGTGGGTCCCTCATTTCCCTGAGGCGGATGCAATCTATCAAAAACCGAGATTCTATCAGACGAAACCTGCATGGGGGTATCATAGGCAACACCAGCTGAATGCATGGAAGCAATAAGATGCCCATCATTAACGGTCACATCAGCAGCCTCAACCATGACATCACTAGCCAAACTCGTACTTGAGCCCTAAATATCAGAAGCCATAGCTCAATCCTGAAAGGGTGAAGCCCGTATGAAGAAGCCTTAAGGTGGAAACCCTACGACAAGAGATGAAGATTTTGGGCTAAGCCAAAATGCTGAAACCTGCACTATGAAACCACGAAAGGCACCAACGATACAGGAAACACACCCTAGGAAGAAAACAACCAAAGGAAACAGCAGCTACCTTTAAAATAGTCGAATCTGAGCAAAAAAAACAAGTACAGATCCAAAGCAAGTCCAAAATCGATGCCAACCCACAGATCTTTTAAAATCGATCAAGACCACAAGAGATCAACAAATCAAAGAACAACTCCATGATCGCCAATGAAGGAGAGAGAAAAACACCATGTCGCTTAAAGAGTGGAGGTCTTGGTATCAAAAGATTGGCAACCTGGAATAGGGCTTTACTTGCAAAACATATTTGGGATATCGTGAGGCATCGTGATTCGTTGTGGGTGAGATGGGTATATATGTACAACCTAAGATCTATACACTTCTGGATGGCTCGGAAAAGCTCAAACTGGTCGTGGGTTCTATGCAAGCTGTTAGATTTACGACCACATGTGCGGCGGTTCTTGATAACTCGAATTGGTGATGTAAGGGAGGATAATTGGCTTCCTTGTGGCCATTTGTCTTCATTCATTTCCTACAGATTTGTTTATTCGAGTGGGTTATCGACCAATACTTCATCTCGGGAACTAATTCAAAGTCTTAATTTAATGGGGTGTGGTTTAATGATTGGTTTCAAAGGTACGTTGCGCTGAGTAGCTCTCCTTTACCGTCTTTGCATGATCATGAACGAGATAAGGTTTACTGGATTGATAGCCAAAATGCTAGTATGGAGTTCTCGGTAATGACAACTTGGTCTACTTTGGATGGGAGTTACCCATTAGTGCCATGGCATAGTTCGATGTGGTTTCCGGGGAACATACCTGAGCATGCATTCTGTTTATTTTGTGTCATCAATGCCTCCCTACCCAAGATCGTATGACCTGGACTGGAAACATGAACCTTCGGATCTGGAATGTGCTCTCTGTAAAAATTGCATGGATAGCCACAATCATTTATTTTTTTTCAATGTAATTTTTCAAAAGAGGTGTGGGAAAGTATTTTAAAGGATGTGGATTGGAAGAGTATGCTAGACTCTTGAGATCATATTATGGGAGCAATTTCGGATGCGAGAGGGTTGCCTAAGAGGGTTAATTCAGAAACTTGCTCTTGCGGCCTCGGTGTATTATGTTTGGCAGGATCGGAATATAAGGTTGTTTACTGATCAAAAAAACGAACGGCTATGCAACTTATCAAGGAGATAAAGAGTAAAATATTTATTCGTGCGGCTTGGAAGAAGAATAAGAATGAGAGAACCAGTATTAAGAATGGGGCATGCTCATTTGTTTGATGAATTTTGGTGGTTTGTAGGCGGGTCTTTGCTTTGGAGAAGGCTTCTTTCCATCCCGTTCTGCAATTTGTTTTTTTCCTGTTGGGCTTTGTATTTTCTGGCTTATTGTTGCTTGGTGCGGTGTGTCTTTAGCCTGACTCTTGTTTGTTTTTTCGGTGGTTTATAAGTTTGTCTGGTTTCCCTTTCAAAAAAAACCAAATGGACCCTTTAAGAATCATTAAGACCCATTCTACCTCAATTACTCTCATTAACTTCTGATTAGATTAACTATAACCCATTTAGTACCATTATAACGCAATTAGACTCAAGTTGGAGAAATAAGCCCATTATACTCATTAAGGTGTGATCAATCTAAATATGAGTCAATTAGTGTCATTTTGAMCCAACTAGACTTCTTATGGTGAAATATGCCTATTAAACAAACCCATTAGGGTCTAATGAGATTAACTATGATTCACATAGTGTCATTTTGACCCACGTGACTCGATTTAAATAAATAGGCGCATTATACCCCTAACACCAAATGGATCCATTAGAGACACCTAAGACTCATTCTACCTTAATTAGTCACATTAACGTTTAGTTAGACTAATTATGGCTCATTTACTATCATCTTGACCCAATTAGACTCCTTATGGAGAAATAGGCCAATTAAACCCCTTAGGGGCTAATGAGACTAATTATGGCATACTTAGTGTCATTTTGACCCAATTGGACTTATTAAGGAGAAATAGGGTCATTATATCCAATAACACCAAATGGACCCATTAAAGACCATTAAGACCCATTATACCTCAATTACTCTCATTAACGTCTAAGTGGACTAATTATGACCCATTTAGTACCATTATAACTCAATTAGACTCAAATAGAATAAATAAACACATTATACACATTGAGGTCTGATCAAACTAGATATGACCCAATTAGTGTCATTTTGAATTAATTAGACTCTTTATGGAGAAATGGACCTATTAAACCAATTAGGGTCTACTCAGATTAATGATGATCCATTTAGTGTCATTTTGGCCCAAATGATTCAATTAAAAGAAATAGGCTCATTATACCTACTAAGACCAAATGGACCCATTAAGGATCCTTAAGACCCATTCTGCCTTAATTACTCACATTAACGTCTTGTTAGACTAATTATGACCCATTTTATGTCATCTTAACCCAATTAGACTCTTTTTGGAGAAATGGGCCAATTAATCCCATTAGGGTCTAATGAGACAAAGTATGACCTAGTTAGTGTCATTTGACCCAATTAGACTTATTAAGGTGAAATAAGTCCATTATATCCATTAACACCAAATGGACCCATTAAGGACCATTAAAACTCATTCTACCTCAATTACTACTATTAACTTTTGATTAGATTAACTAGTCATACGAACCTTTTAGACCAATCACAAGTCATTATTTAATTATATTCATCTCTCACCATGCAATTAATATTGAGGATATATTGATAATTTTCTTTTTGTCTTAATTCCTTTGCATTAATGGGTTGTTACAAGAACATCCAGTTCCATGATTCTAGCTAAATTACCTAAACACAAAATCTTTGAAAGGGAAAGGAAAACACGACGGCAACGGTAACAGGGACGATATCGGAAGATGAGGTGGGAGATGGAGTGAGAGTTGTGGATAACAGTTCCAGGTACCAAGGTATATTTGGGTTGAGGTTAAGAGTATTTTAGAATTATGAAAATGTTATATTTCATTCCATCAAAATACCACTTCTATGTCATGGAGTGTCTAAATCCCTATGGAATTTCATAGAATTCAAAGATTTCTTCCATAAAAAATAATGAACCAATAAAAGGATTAAATTTGATCAAAGAAATTCAACATTCCAATTACATCAAATTCCTTCAAAATCTGCAAACCAAACACCACGTTAGGTGTTATAAAAAAAATCACTTTTATATTTTATTTCATGGGTGTTATAAAGTTCATGAAATTAACCGGTATAAATACTATTAAATAAAATAATATTAATGTTAATGTTAAAAAAATACAATAAAATGTTAATGTTAAAAAAAATTCAATAAAATATATATAATTAATGATCACTATAACAAGTTTGAGAAAGTCTTGGTACCAAGCTTTGCAAAGGGTCATGCAACACAAAATTCTTCAACTGTTCATAATCAATCAAATGGCAAGAGGAATTAATTGATGAAGGTAGCAGCCACTAGAAACATAAAGCAAGCTACAACCATTCCTGTTGAGGTATCGATACGACCCGAAGGAGAGAGATTATGGGCACTCACCCAATACTCTTTCCCGGATCCCTCATCTTTCACTTTGATGCTTGAAGAGCCTTGGAAAAAAGAAAACACAACCAAAACCGATCAATAAAAACTCCATCTTCTTAGGTGCTTCTGACCCTCTTAAGAAAAGGGCTTGCGCTACACTCCAAAGTGCCCCCACGGTCATTATGGGGAGGTAAAACACAGATTTGAATCCGAGACCATGACCACAAATACATGGGATTATTTAGCTAAATGACCTCCTGACAAGTGTTTTTGCAAGTCCATGAACTTATGATAGGTATAGCATTCTTATGTATGGAAGAGGCATTCTTCTATTAAGCAAAAGGCATCCTCAAAACTCAAGAATTTGAAGTGAAACTTATCTTATGGCTACTAGAGAAAGAATACAACACAACAAAATCTCTTTCTGCGATAGCTTGGACGGATAATATGAGCACACAAATTGGAAAAGTAAAATCATGGGTTTAAAAGGCGATTCAGGAGAATAACCTTCTAACAAACTTCTTTTAAATGCATAACCTTCTGGCAGATTTAATAACACTTCTGCCTAACAGAATAATGCTTCTTCCTAAGATAAGAATGCCTCAAAATCTGTCAGCCAACCAGTCATGCATTTAAAAAAACTCTGTTAACAGGTTATTATCCTAAATAACCAGCTTTAAACTTAGTTAGGGTCTTCTCAGGAACACCCTCTCTACCAATTGATGTGGAGGTATGGGCTGCATACATCCTACACCCCTCTAAGACCATACTTTTGGGTGGGGTTTATTAGGGGAATACCCTTTTAATAGATTTTTTTAAGTGTATGACCTTCTAACAGATTTAAGAAAGCGTGTGCCGGACCGAAGAGTGCTTCCTAACACACAAAATCTGCCAAAATGTCATGCATTTTCTGTGAGAAGGTTATTCCAAAATAACTCATTTGGATAGGATTTACTAGGGTAGTTTGGTTTATGATAAGATTGTGTCTCTAAAGCGATTGAAACTCAACTTCAAGATTGTAGAGACTCGATTCGTGTTATTGAGCCGAAGCTCACTTGGTAGCTAGATTGGCCGACTTGCTAAGCATTAGTAGTGAAAGACAAGCATTTCAACTAGAAAATTCTTTCTGGATTGCAAAAATGGACTTCTTTGTTGAACCAGGGGAGACTTTTCCCGACAACAATATCTTGTAGAACATCGAAGAAGACAGTATACTTACAATTGTAGTCGATCCATCCAACTGTCTGCTTTTCCATATCGTATGTTACCAGTTTATCTGTTAATACAAGATCTGCATACAAAGAACAGTCATTCTGTCACCTCCTTTTATGCAATATCATCAAAGTTACTTGAGGCAAATTCCTACTGTGACATGTATGCCATGCAATGATGGTTGTCAGTAGCACTAGATTTGTCATGTCAACTGTGGAGGAGCTGGCCGAAAGAAGAGGAAACCAAAAATACCACAAATCAACCGGTGGCCTTGGGCACAATTGGTACTAACCAAGTGTTCTGAGCCTATGATTGTGGGTTCAAGAATAACAAGATGTCTGTATTTAACAGTTCAAGGAAATACCAAAAAACTATTACTCCTCTGTTCCATAAGAATCGTAATGTTTGACTATTAAAATCGGAACATAAAATGTTGCAATTTTATGGACATCTCAAAACAGAAAATGTTGCAATTTATCAGATAGAGTATAAGTTCAACAGATTATTTAGGTGAACAACTTCTGACAGATTTTGAGGCATTGTTGTGTTAGGAAAAAGTACTCTTCAGTTAGGCAGTGGCGGAAAATCTGTCAGAAGGTTATTCTCCTAAATAACCCAGTCCTAACTAAGCTAAGCAGGCAAGACGTTTCTCATCATGATCTTACGAAATTCGGTGGATAAAGATTGTAATACGACACAATTTAGCCTTGTAAAAACAAGCACTGAAATATGAATGAAGACTTACCTCCCAACAAAGTTATCTCTTTTCCATCCTTTGACTGCAATTCACTGTCCTGAAAACCGACGCACCAGTCTTGATCCTGAAAAGACAATATCATAAAAACAAGTTCAGTAAAGTGCCTTAAGCAACCACCAATGCATAAGGAAGGATAACTTGGAATATGTACCTCAACTTCAAAGAGGTACTGGTGGGGAAGAACTTTCAAAGAAAGTGAATTGTCAAAGTGAAAAGTGACATCTGGAAAACCCTTGTCAACACTGCATTATCAGAGGATAAAGACAAAGTTACGAGCCAATAGTCAATGTTGCAGAAGTCTATTGGTTTAAGTTGAAACTAAAATTTAGAATCTATAAGGATAAAAAACAATTACATCAAGATTAGTTCTGCAGACAAGACATGCCTACATTGATAACAAAATATTTATGATAATGAATGTTATCTTGTGGAAGAACTCAAGTAAACTACTTGCTAGTTATGTTGACATGGTGGAGATTGAAAATGAAGTAGAAGAACAGGGAAACAAAGAAATTCATTTGAAGTTGGTAGTGGGGCTGATCAATCCCAAATCAATGAGAGATTGTGGTTCTGATCGGCAGCAGGGCGACACATAATTTCATTTCGAACGTTGCTTGAAAGATTGTGTTCACCAATTATACGCACAGTGCAGTAAAAAGGGACGACCATTAAAGGAGAGGGGATTCTGTTGGCAACAAGGAGAGGCTAGTTAGGCAATGTCCATTGGCAACAACTACCACCACCACCACCACCACCAGTTGATGAAAAAGGTTGGAATCAGTTTCTATTTTATTTTATTCCCACCTTGAGGGCAAGGTGAGAGTTGAGGGTGGTTATTCTTGTACCTTGGGTCAAATAGTCAAATATAGTAGGTTATTGAACAAGTGGCTACAGCATTAAGAAGAACAACTATTCACAATCTGAGCGCAAAGACTCGCCTTTTATATAATAGTACTAGATGATCTATCTACAATAGTAAATAAATCTCAATTTTCATTAAACGCAGCAGGCACAGCCAGATCTAATTGCCCATTATTTACATCAAGTTTGACACGAGTAAAATGATCCTTGTGTAAGATGATGGAAGACATAAAATTAATAATGTAATAATGATTAAAATGAATAAATACCTTAATGATTGAATAGAAACAAAAATAATGCCACTAGGGAGACATCTATAACTAAAGTAAGGGCTTTTTAATTAAATCAAGTTTTCAAAAAAAACAAGGATGTAATTGCTGCAAGTGATGTTTGCTTCCTTAAAAATTCAGTGTCTAATATGAACTCACTATCATTTAAATGTTTACATATTTCAAAGAATACTTAAAGAACCCATGAACATATAACTAGTAGAAAGATGAAAAGTTCAAGAATTTTGCTTCTCATTTCTTTGTGAAGTTATTTTTTWAATGSYGACCCCCTTGCTATCATAATTTTGCTTCTCATTTCTTTGTGAAGTTATTTTTTAAATGCTGACCCCCTTGCTATCATAATTTTGCTTCTCATTTCTTTGGGAAGAATTTTGCTTCTCATTTCTTTGCAGTTCAAACCGAATCAACAGACCACTTGAGCACCAAAGAATATCATAACTATCAAGAAAAGCTCTAGAAGTTTGGAAAGAAGAAACGAGACTGGTAAAAGACCACTTACTTTCCTGGGTACTTGTAGCATGTGAACTGTTGATCAACAATGTGACTTTTAATATTAGGTTGTGCAGCATCAATCTACATCGTAAGGTAATCATGAGAATCATAAAGAGAAAATATTTAATGATTTAAGTAATAAAAAAAAGGGGAAATTATAGTTGAGTAAGGCAATGATGAATGCAAAAGGGCTTAAAATATTTCCCACACCTTTTCTATTACTTGTTTGTAAACCAAATCAGGTAAATATGCTAACGTTGTACCACTGTCAATGATTGTTCCTCGCTTGGCTCCAACATCAAATATATCTGTTGGAAGTTGGAGAACATCACCACCGACCTCAATTGCCTTCAATTCAACGTTATAATGTGCCCTATGATGCAGATAAAAGTGTAAAGAACCTATATTTTATTGTGAGAATTAGATGAAAGAAAGCTGAAAGCTAGTGTTGTAAATAGAACACTGTGCAAAAAAATGTTCCCAGATCATAAATAAAGATCCACAAATACAATTTAATAGCCATACCAAAAATAGCCAAAGACAAATATGACCAAATGTAATCATCCTTTTTCCATTTAAGGTAAAAGAGGAAAATACTAAAAGTTTACATGATTATAAAAGTGAGTATGTCAAGAAGTAATAAGTGGCCAAAACGGCTAGGAATGGACATAGTTAAAACAGAAAATGATTCCTCCTACATGCTGCTAGATGATCTCAAATTCATAAACATGTCATGCAGGAGTATCTGTACAGGAATAGTAGTCCATGAGTATTAAAATGATGGGTCAAACCATTCTAGATAAAATGACAACCCCATGATGAGCATCAGAAAGTGCAGCTTGTTATGATGTGCTTACAGTTGGTATTTTAGAATATGTTTATATACACTGTATTTGTGATGCTTCTGACGATAATATGATTATAAGATAGAAATTTGGAAGAATCCAAAAATTAAGTGTGATAAGAATCCTTCTGCTATAAGATGTTTAGAATAGATAGATAAGATAAAAGACATGGAAAGGATTCCTAATTATACTTGGATAACGTATAGAGAAAGTAAGAGGAGTTCCTGGAAAAATACAGACCTCAAGCAACCCAAGATTACTGCCCTTTTTCCATTGGTGGTGCAGATTTGATCGAACCGCATCAAGTGGTTCAAGCTAATCGGAACGAGCTATTCTTCATTATCAATGTGAATGGAAACTACAAGCTCCTAGGGGTCCACCAAAATCAGTGGAAGCAACCTTCCGGTATATGTCGAAAGATTCAACCAACCCAGGAAAACCCATCGCTCTGCAAACTCAAAAGTTGGTTTCCCGTTTCACATCCATTTTTGCTAGTCGCCTTACACCCTTTCTGCCAGGAACACCCATGCCATTCCCCTACTCCCAAACTCTAAACCTCCAAAAATCTGTCCTCACCACCACCCTATTCCCGAAATTTGAAATCGAAAAGCAATTTGAGTTACTCAATTTTGTTTTATCTGACCATATACCAGTCTCTTTGCTAGTCCCATTCTTCTTGTTAAAAGAAGAGAGAGATAATACCTCGTCTATGTGTGTTGATTATAGATGCCTTAACCAAATAACGGTACCAGAAAATACCCCATAACAAATGTGGATGAGTTGCTTGATATGGAGCATCAACTTTTTTGAAAATTGATTACCATCAGATTCATGTCCATCATGTTGATATCCATAAAACAACCTTCCGCACCCTTACGGGCGCCGCCTCAACCTTCCAAGTTGCCATGAATTATCTATTCTTCCCTTAGGAAAAATTCTCTTGGTTTTTTATGACATTTTAGTATCCAGCAAGTCCCTTGACCAACACCTCTGCCATTTGAAACTTATTTTGCAGCTACTCCAGAAGAAGCATTACCGTACCAAAGCCACCAAATGTCTGCTTGGACAACCAGAAACATTTTTTAGGCACATTCTATCAAGCAAAGGAGTTCGTGTTGATCATGATAAAATACAATCAGTTTTGAGTTGGCCAACACCAACAAATGTGAAGAAGCTATGTGGATTCTCAGGTTTGACGGATATTATTGTTGATCTACCAAAGGTTATAGTTTGATTGCTACACCACTTAGGCACTTACTGATCTCACAAATAAAAATGCCTTTCAATGGACCCCAATAGCAGAATCCTTCCTTGAGCTCAAACATGCCTTGACTAGGGTACATTTTCTCCATTTGCCCAACTTTTCCCAGCCATTTACAATGGAATGTGATGCTTCTTCTCAAGGTATGGTGCTATTCCTCTGCAATTTGATCATCCCATCGCTTATTTCAGTAAGGGTCTTTCATTTTCTAAAAGGTTAAGATCTACTTATGATCAGGAATTACTTGCCCTTGTTTTAGCATTGCAGAATTGGAAACATTACCTCTTGGGCCGTCACTTCTTAATCCAGACAGATCATCACAGCGTCATATATATATATATATATATATATATATCTTCTCAATCAGAGCCTAACCACCTACGGCTCCTCTTAGAAAACATGTCATTTAGTTTCACCATTGTTACAAGGCTGGAAAAGAGAACTTAGGCGATGATGCACTCTCCCACAAGCCACAACATGTTGATTTCTTGGTTGTGGTTGCTTTCGTTCCGTTGGACTTTGCTCATTGGTATTAGTTACTTCAAGATATCCATACACTCATGATATCTTTGTGGTGATTCATCAAGACCCCTCCACTCAACAAGACATTCAAGTAGCAAACAAGAAGTTGTTCGACAAAGATAGGTTAGTGGTCCAAACAATGTCTCTCTACGATAAAACGTCTTTCCAAGGCACATGATACCCCTATAACATGTCATGGTGAGAATTTAAAAGACCCTTCAATTCCAAATCTTTTTGGCCAAAGATGAAGCATGACGATTATATCCAAAATTGCTTGGTTTGTCAACAAGCAAAGTATCAATGCTTAGCACTTTCAGTCTTTTACAACCCCTACAGATTCCATCACACATTTGGGACGAATTTTCGATAAATTTACCTTTGGCTTTCCCAAATCCAATGGTTATGAAATTATGATAATGTTTTAGTAGTTGCAGATCATCGAAGAAGATACTCGCATTTTGTTCCTCTTGCTCCCCACACACTGCCAAATTTGTTGCTAACGTATTTTGCAGGGCAATCGTATGTCTATATGGAATCCTAAGATCCATCATGTTTGTACGTGACGTTGTTTTCCTTGGTTCCTTTTGGAGGATCTTTTTTTGACTTTACTAGAACTAAACTGAAAATGAACACCACCTACCACCCACAAACAGATGGCCAAACAGAGGTGGTCAACTGTTACTTGGGAGGATACTTACAATGCTTGTCTCAAGCCTGCAATTGGAGTACTTGGTTGAATTTTCTTTAACATTGGATTCCATTCGTCAGCTGGCACTTGGCTTTCATGTTGGTATATGGTCGTGACCCTCCGGTCATTTCTCCTTATGTCCATGGCGAAACTCAGGTTATTAACCTTCAAATTCAACTTATAAAATGTGATGCCATGTTGAAGGACCAACTCTCCAAAGCTCAAACAAGGACTATGTCTTTTCGGTTGGCGACTATGTCTTTGTGCACTTGCAACCATACCACCAAGAATAATTAGCCTATTGCTGTTATGTTGAACTTTCTCCTCATTTCTTCGTTCCATACAAAGTACTTTGTTGCATTGGACCATTTCCGCATGAGCTTAGACTACCACCAAATTCCAAAATTGATCCCATTTTCCATGTTTCACTACTTCAGCCAGCATATGGGCAACCAGCTCCTTCAGTTCCAAGTCCACTACCAACAAATACAGATTGGGAACTAGGTTTGGCTCCTGAAAAAAATACTATCCCATCATTGGGTATCTACTGCTGGTGTCCTATCTCTAGAATTGTGGTTCAATGGCTAGATCGACATATCAAAGAAACAAGTTGGGAGTCTTATGACCTCATTGTTCAGCAATTCCCTACATTTTGCCTCGAGGACAAGGCACTGTTCAAGGGGGTGCATTGATACGACATCTCTCTAATTGACTTATTCTACAAGGGAAAAAAAAAAGGAAACTCATGAGCATGGAAAGAGTCTTCCATGAATCTAGGGATGTCTACAGCAATCTACTTTCCTAATCAACTATATGCTTTCCTCATCAGTTCCATCTTCCGGTTTGTTTTGCTATAGGGATCTGTTTTTGTTTTGCTCTAGGAATCAGTTTCTTCTTAGGTTATACCTTGACTGTTTTGTTCTATGGACAACAGAATAATTATTATGAGTTCTTATTTTGCATAAGGCCACTTTTGTAATTCTATTCTCCTGTTATTACTCACTAAACATTTAAACCTAATGATTGCATCATTAAACACCACAAGTTCATTTCCATAATCACAGTCTAAAACACAACTTTATTTTATGATGAAATTTTATTATATATAGTGACAAGGAAAAAACCAAGATAGGGGCCGAGCCAAATATCAGTTTCTCAACCATACAAATTGGGATGTACTTTCACTTAACACCATCTAGTAGAGGATTGGAACCATACAAATCAATGATACTATGATAACTACAAAGATTCTATGAGAATTTGGAAGAAAAATTACTTGGCCTTAAAAAAGTGATGACTTACTCGGGAATCATTGGTGTGGTTTGTACTTTTGGTTGTACCACTTCTCCGATAGCAAATATGCCGCCTCCTTGAGAGCCATCCAAGCAATGTGAAAATATCTTTTTCACCTTTTTAGCTGAAGCAAGCTGTGAAAGCACAGAAGAATTTGCCTGTCCAAACCCAAGTATCCCATCTAGTGCTTGTTGTGATGAACCCAACTCCCCCGATTGTTGAGATCCGCACCTATCTTGGATAATAAAGTAAATTGTCAGAACATAGATTATACAGCTCTTATCTTTAAACCTGGACGTTTATTGATGCCAAAAACACACTACGGAAGGAAACAGTAGACTTGCCCGAATGCTATACTCCCGTTCATTGATGTGGTTTGAAGATCTCCAGAAACTTGGTCAAGTTGTACAGCATCTCTGACAAAATATCCCATGGTGGAGCTCCCATCACCATATGTGACAGAATACGAACAGTACATTCCGACCTTACAGTCACCATTAGGGCCACTGAGTGTGGATATGCAAATTTCTTGATCACAAGCAACCATTTTTGCAGTTGATGAAGCCTTAGGATTGTATAACGCAAGTGATATCTGGCGACAGTAATGGTAACAATTGTTACTTTATAGAGAGGAAGATCAATTGAGAAAACTCACAAATCAAATGTAAACCAATCAAGTAGATGATGCAAAGTACTTGTATAAGTTTATAAATGCTCCAAATAAGATAAGTAACATACTCCAAGATCACTTTTCTTGGGACATTTTTGACATCCAGCACAATTCACCCATAGAAGGTCACTCCCTGTATCAACCTGCACGTGATAATCCTTTGGTGGAGTTCCAATTTGAATCTTAGTGAAATAGAGCCTATATACAAAACCATACAAACAATATAAACTTTCATGGTGCAACATTCATCCCTACAATTACACATATGCATGCATACGTATATACATACATATATATATATATATACATATATGTGAGTTACATATATATCAACCTGCAGTTGATAATCTGTCGGTGGAGTCCCAGTCAGAAATTTAGTGAAATAGATCCTATATAGAAAACCATATAAATAATATAAACTTTCATGCTGCAATGTTTACCCTACAGGTACATACATGAATGCATATATAAATACATTTACATATGCATATATATATATATATACAGCCCATTACCAACCATCTTTTATCTCATTGACAAGTTCAGTAAAACTATAGGTCCAACCCTGCTGATTTTGCTATCTATAATTTGCTTTCACAAATTTCAAATAGGTTAGAAGGAAGAATACAATGAACTTGCTTGATTAAGAAACGCAATGCACTGATTAAAACTATCATAGACAAACGAGAACCAGAAATATATTGGTGACTTCACTTGGCCCTTAAGATCCTTATTTGATGGGTTTAGAGAAAATTAACAAGTGGCACCAAGAAGAAGTGGCTCAGAAATTTAAGAGAACATCATTCAAAAGCAACGTAGAGGCGACAAGCCAAGAAACAAGAGGGCCGGTGAGTAGTATCACCCTGCTCGTATTCCTCAACATATGAGAGAAAGGAACATCAATCAATTGGATAGTAGCCCCTAAAAAAGAAAGGAAAAGAAAAGAAACACTCATTTGAGCTAGCAGTGATCAAACATATCCCTTAAAAGGAAAGAAAAAGAAACTAAACACATAGAAACCAGCCTTATGACAGGGTTTTGAGGATTGAGATGAACTGGGATAAAGTTAATATAATACAAGTTAGGGCTAGAACAAGAAAGAATGGAATCAGTCTGATGCAACTATGCGAGGGTCAAGTTTTGGTGCAGACTCATAATAAGTTGAAAGTGAAGTTGTGAACCCTTTCAGCAACCACCTTACTAAATACACGGCAAGTTTCATAGATTCATTCACAAGAAAGATTCATAATCCAAATAAAGAGGCAGAAGAGTGAGAAGTTCTGTGAATTATTGTCCTCATATGCATTATCAGTAACATCATCACCATCAGTCCCTTTGCTCTTATATTATCATGATGTGTGTTCTCAAACCAATGAAAAGTATGTGCGCATACACAACTTGTACTTCAAGTCAACGCATGTGAATATAGGTGCCTATTTGGATTCGAAAAAGATTCATCATTAAAAGCTTTTTAGTTATCCGTTTTCATGTAAAGTTTCTATAGACTGCAGTGGATTTAGCCAATCCCCAGAAGTGACACATCGTAGAGTTTTCAAGGTCAAAGAGATAAGCAGAACCATGAAAGGTCAATCCACAATAAGTAGGCTTTGATGTAAAACGAATGAAATTAAAAGATTAAACTGACTGCTTGATGAGCTATATTCAAAAAATTAGTAATGGATCTTCAAAAAGGAACATCGTCATGTATTGAAATTTCTCTATCTCAAACCCAAAACATATAATTGGAAAATCATAATGATACAAGAATCTCAAACTCATTCATCCTCCGTATTCGTGATATTATGCAACATAATGGATCTAACCATCTTTATCAAGCTTGGAAACAAAATCTACACAAACATTCTTGAATACATAAACAATTAAAAACCTGCATTTGATAATTCTTCAACTACATAAACCGGTTAAGAGTCCATCACATATACACACACACATAAATATATATATATATATATATATATATGTATATATATATATACATATATGTAGAGAAAGAGAGAGAGAGAAAGAAAGAACTAACGCTGCTGAGGTGGGGCTGCCGTCGCCGCCGAGGGGAAGGTCGACGGCTGAGAGAATTCTCCGATGACGGTCGTTATCATGAGCTTTGAATTCACTCAAAGACCTTTTGTAGCCAGCAAACTTATGCTGAACTTGGAAAACGACATTGGCTGATGCCAACAAACAAAATTGAAGAAGAAGAAGAACAAACCCAATAACCAAAACAACAAATCCTCCTTTATTCAGATCCATCTCCCAATTCAATTCAAAATTGTATTTTCTTCAAATGGGCGTTCCTCGAAATCGAAACAAATGAACAAATTTTTATCCTATGTGTATGTGTGTGTGTATATACCCTTTCTGAAACTTACGTATCCTCTCATGTTATTGAAAGAAAATTTAGTTGGAGAGAAGGAAAGAGTGACAACAAGAAAACCCGCCTCGACTGTGCCGCTACAGAAGAAGCAAAACCCAATGAGATGCAGTTAGCTTTCACAAGAAACAAATAATCTACAGAGGAAACCTATATCGCTAAGTATTCCATTGCATTGGATCACATCAACAGACGTGTTGACCGATCCGTATTGCTGATCTTCCTTTATGTTCTTTCCCTTTTTGTTAATGATTAGGTATGTTCTCATCGCCTTGACTTCGACTTGTTTGACTTTATGTGTTTGGGAAGGCACAGGGTGATCCCCAAATCTAGTAACAACAAATTGAGGGTGACAATTTTTCAACAGAGATGAAATGTTCAAATGCTATTGATTTTAAGCACTTAGAAAACGTGTACATTTTCTAATTTTCCAATGTTGGACTTATTTCAAGTACTTGTTTATTTATGATGCTACAAGGTGTACAAGTAACACATCATATGATAAAATACACAGTCGGAGGTAGTTTATCTGTAGTTGTTAAAGGTTTTGTATTAAAGATGCTCAAAAAATCGGTCAATCCAACTCAAAAAAACCTTAAAAAATCTCAATTTGGGATAACCTAACACGGAGTTGATACAAAATTAGGTCAAATTGTATTTATTGGTTGAAACTTGGTTAGGTTAATCTGAACTCAACCCCACCAGGTAAACCCAATCTCTTACAATACTACAGATCTAATATGATTGCTAAGTTCTTAGTTAATATTTTTACATTAAACAAACCCGTAATTAACTACACTCAAAATTATATTGCAAGTTTCAACCATAATTTTATTTTTTATTTGCATGAATCTTCAACTTTTTTTTCTTCACTTTGTTAGCTTTTCTTCTGTATTTTGATTTTTACTTTGTTTAAACATAAACACTTAGCTAGATTTGTAAAATGATGTATCAAAGTTTCAACCTGACCACCAAAGGGACTTTGGCCTAGCGGTATTTGTAATATTCGGGTTTTAAGCTTTGATTAAGATTTTTGAATATATATATATATATATATATGTGTGTGTGTGTGTGTGTGTGCGTGTGTTAGGGTAATGTGAAAGTGTGTGAAGGTGTTGAGGTGTATAGCCGACTTAGTAAAAGACGGCCATACACTTGCTATTTATAGCAAGTGTACGTTTAATTGCAAGGTTTTTCTGATTTTCTGAGAGTTTTCTTCATACATTGAGAGAGTAATTGCAGGTTCAAATCCGTTCATCTATCTTTTGTAAAGTGAGTGTATACCACTTTAAAGTATTGGTTATTAATTTTGTTACTGTTAGAATATGCTATTTATGAACTGCATTTCATAAATATTTATATCTCCTTAAACCGCCCAAGTGTTGTCCGGATATCTTCTTAAACCGCCCAAGTGTTGACCGGTTTATTCTTGAACAGCCCAAGTGTTAACCGGATTAAAAGCTAATCCGCTCAAGCCATGTCCGATTTATCTTTTTCTACTCTAAGTAATTGTCTGGATTTCATATCCGGACAAGGTTGACCGGACTTCAAATTATAGCAATATGTTGAAGCTTTAAAGATGAAATGGCGGTGTAATCGCGAAAGAGATGTAATGGCGATGTAACCGCGAGAGAGATGTAATGGCGGTGTAACCGCGAGAGAGATGTAATGGCGATGTAACCGCGAGAGAGATGAAATGACGGTGTAACCGCGAGAGAAATAGATAAATATTTATATCCGTACAGGTTGATTTGAAACTGGTAGTATTGGAAAGTACGTTATTTGTTTGAGAATTATACACTCACTAGACCTTTTTGGGTCTAACGCTCAGTTGTTGGACTAACCTGTTTTGCAGGTCATCATACCTCGCAGGATAGAGGCAAGTGAAAAGTTTAGAATTGATAACTTTTAGTTACTCATAAATGTATCAAAGAAAGTTTTTGTTAATCTGTATTTTGTAAACGATGTTACATTTTGTGTTATGAGTAATATCATGTGGATTATCTGTATAGTGGAAAGTGTGGGATGTTACAGTTGGTATCAGAGCCTTAGTTTAAGGGATCTGGGTATTTGTGAAATACTTAGACTTAAACTAGAGATGTGGAAGTTATAATAATAGGTTTCACTGGGACTATAAACATGGGGAATATGTTATAGTTGAACCTATTATGAGAAAGATAAATTATATATGATTGATATAATCTGAGTTATGGATAGACTTGAGGATAAATTTGTTATTATATTTTGATTATGAGAATAATCATGTATGTTTAAATGTGACAGAAAGAGTTATACATTGAGAAATGGCAGATAATCCCAATCAATCAGAAAGGACCTCTACTGGTTATAGAAGAGGTCGGGGAAGAAGAAACGTAACACAAGGAGAGGACCCGAAGAATGTGATGACGATAGAAACACGAAGTCGTAGCAGGGGTCGAGGAAGAGGTAGAGGTACTAGACAAGAACAGGAATTGTCGGCTCAAGAAAGTTCAATGTCTGGTCATGGAAGAGGAAGAGCAAGGGGTGGACACAATGTTCCTGATCCCGGATATATTACCCAAGAAATGTTGGCAGCAGAGTTGGGAAAGTTCCAAGAAAGTTTGGTAAATTTGTTGGGGCGTACAGCCTAAAATAATCCAGAAGTGGTAAGAAATTCCGATTATCAGGAGGAAGCTGGAGCTAATACACCGGTAACTAGTACATCTGTACCTCTTGCTTCGTCCTCAGTACAAAAAGGAGGAGATATCAAAATGTTTCTTGCTTGTAAACCTCCCAAGTTTTTCTGGTGAGCGTGATCCTGTTAAAGCTATGTGTTGGCTTAAAGAAATAGAACTGAGTCTGCAAATCAGTAAAAGTGCAGAAGAAGACAAAGTCATGTTTGCTGTATCTCGTTTAAGATCAAGTGCTTTGTACTGGTGAGAAGTTCTGTCCAGTTCAAATCCGAATATCCTGAAAACCATGTTGTGGGAAGAATTTGTGGTTAAGTTTAAAATGCAGTATTATCCTAAAGCTGCAGTAAGAAAGTTGGAAGATGATTTCCTTCGTCTTGAGCAAGAAAACATGTCAGTCCGTCAGTATACAGAAATTTTCATGGAATAATCTAGGTTTGCTGAAGCCTATATTTTATCTGAAAATAGTAAGGTGAGAAAGTATATCTGGGGATTGGAGTCGAATCTTCGGAAATATGTGATATCCAGGAATCCGACAACATTTCAAGCGGCAGTTGATGCTGCTGAAATTCTGGAGCAAGACATTAACCGACAACCACAAGAGAAAGTTGGAGAGAAAAGAAAGGGGGAATCTACAATAACTGATTTCCGTAAACCGAGGTTTATGGAAAATTTGAATCGACCAGTTTCAAGGTTTGCGGATAAAGCATGTACCCGGTGTCATAAAATACATCAGGGAAATTGTAATACAGAATCTCGAGTATGTTTTAAATGTCAGGATTTAGGACATATAGCTCGAGATTGTCGAGTGACACGGAGGTATTTTACTTGTAATTCATCTCAACATATAAATGTTGATTGTCTGCAAGCAAAAGGTCGAGGGTCTGGTTTTGTTGGAGGACGGGGATCTGGTTATGTGCCAACAGGTTGGGGACAGATGAATAATCGTGTTAATTCAAGTGGTCGAGAAGAGATAAGACATGGGGAGTCTGCAAGAGGGAGAGCCTTTCAGATGACGAGAGGAGAGGCAGAAGAGCACCCTGAAGTGGTAACAGGTACATTCCTCGTTAATTCAGTATGTGCTAAAGTTTTATTTGATTCGGGTGCAAATCGTTCTTTTGTGTCACCATCATTTGTTAACTGCGCACATTTAGAATCTAAAGCGTTGAGTGAGGATCTAATTGTGGAAACAGCAAACGATAGTGAAATTTTGGTTAAGGAAAGTATAGATGAATGCTTTATAAGTATAGAAGGGTGTGAAGTGCCTATACAATTGTTTCCTTTGCCTTTAAAGGAATTTGATATAATTATAGGCATGGATTGGTTAGCTAAAAATCAAGCTAACATAGTTTGTGATGAGAAGATAATTCATATAGACTTACCAGAAAAAGGAAGGGTTGTGATTTACAGGGATCGACGGGATCGTTATTCTAGCCTTATCTCAGTTCTAAAGGCTCGAAAGCATGTGCAGAAGGGATGTGTTAATTTTCTTGCGTATGTTATAGACATGAGGAAAGAAAAAGAAAAGATGAAAGATATTCCAGTTGTGAGGGAATTTCCTGAGGTCTTTCCGAAAGATTTGATAAGTCTACCTCCGGATCGAACGATAGAATTTCAAATAGAACTACTTCCTAGAGCAGCACCCGTAGCACGTGCACCATATAGATTAGCTCCTTCTGAGTTAAAGGAGTTAATGTCCCAGTTGAAAGAATTATTGGATAAAGGATTCATTCGGCCAACTACTTCCCCGTGGGGTGCGCTGGTGCTTTTTGTGAAAAAGAATGATGGATCAATGAAGATGTGCATTGACTACCTGGAGTTGAATAAACTGACAATCAAGAAAAAGTATCCTCTTCCAAGAATTGATGATTTATTTGATCAATTGGTTGGGGCTACTTATTTTTCAAAGATTGATTTACAATCTGGTTATCATCAATTGAAGATTCGGAATGAAGATGTGTCAAAAACAACATTCCGTACGCGCTATGGTCATTATGAATTTTTGGTTATGCCGTTTGGACTCACAAATGCACCTACAGCATTTATGGACATGATGAATAGGGTGTGTCGTCCCTATCTTGATAAATTTGTGATTGTTTTCATTGATGATATTCTGATATATTCTCGGACGGAAGAAGAACATGCACATCATTCATTGATGATATTCTGATATATTCTCGGACGGAAGAAGAACATGCACACCATTTGAGATTACTTCTAGAATTGTTGAAACAAGAGAGATTGTATGGTAAGATGTCAAAGTGTGAATTTTGGCTACGAGAAGTTCAGTTTCTGGGGCATGTTATCTCAAAAGAAGGTATTAAAGTAGATACTTTGAAGATTGAAGCCATTGAATAATGGGAAGCCCCAAAGACTCCAACTGAAATCAGAAGTTTTCTTGGATTGGCTGGGTATTATAGTAAGTTTATACAAGATTTTTCTCGTATAGCTACTCCATTAACGAAGCTGACTAAGAAGAATGTGAAATATGAGTGGGATGAAGCACAAGATCAAGCCTTTCAGATGTTAAAAGATAAGTTATGCAGTGCACCAATTCTATCTTTGCCAAATGGAATGGAAGATT